TGGAGGGGGGCTCTGTGGGAGGAGGGGCAGGGGATAACAGGGGTTCCTGGCTGACCCCCTCCTTCCCCCCCCCCAGGGTGACCAGGCCCCCGTGCCATGTCCACCGAGAGCTCCCCACTCCTGAGCTACCGGCTCTTCAGCGTGGTGGACGACGGGGAGATGCCGGGGAGCCGGGCCCAGGAGGAGGCCCCCCTGGTGGGGGGGGATGTGGGGGGCACCGCGGGCCCCCCTCACCCCGACCCGGCCCGCCGTCTCTCTACCTTCTTCGGCGTTGTGGTGCCCACCGTCCTGTCGATGTTTAGCATCGTCGTCTTCATGCGTGTGGGTGAGTGACCCCCGCGTTCGGGATTCTCCCCCTAGGGAAATCGCCACCCCTAGGAATACCAACAAACCTCCATCCCCCCACGGTTGCGTGATTGATTTCCAGCCAAAATCATGGAGCAGGGAGTTCCATCGGCTAATGGGGGGGAGGGTGGCCCTCTCCTCCTCCAACCCAGCGGATGAATGAAAGGTGGCCCAACGGTCATCGGAGGAGGCTAACGCGGACCGGGAGGCGCGCTCCGAGGCCGTGGAACCTACTACCCCAGCTCCACCATGGTGCCCCTCGCGCCTGACCCGCAGCCCCTCTCTGTCGCCCCCTAGGGTTCGTGGTGGGGCACGCCGGGTTCCTGCAGTCGCTGCTCATGCTGGTGGTGGCCTACGTCATCATCCTGCTGACTGTCCTGTCCGTCTGCGCCATCTGCACCAATGGCGCCATCCAGGGGGGCGGGGCCTACTGTATCCTTCAGCCAATGGGGATTGGGGGATACAGGGGGCAGGTGAGGGGTGTCGGGAGAGCTGCTTATGGAGGGGAGATGGGACATGGGAGGCTGTCTCTGGGGCGGCAGGGGCTGTGGGGAGCAGTGGTGGGGTGTCGGGAGATCTGTTTATGGAGGGGGTCTTTGGGGAGACTGGGGGGAGGGGAGATGGGGATATGGGGGGGCTGTCTCTGGGGCGCAGGGGCTGTGGCGAGCAGTGGGTGGGG